TTTTCACATCTAAACGTTTAGAGTGGCAAAGAGTTACTTCCTAAATTCAATGTCTCAAAATCCACTTAGTTATTCTACCTTTGGGAGAGGGTGGGGAAAATGTGATTAAAATTTCCCCACCTATACAAGCATTATTGCGTTCTTTATTAACATCTCTAAGTCTCTTACTATGTTAGTACTACAACCTTAAAATAGAAATAAGTACAGTCACTCACTGGGGAAAACCAAAAAGCTGTTTTTTCTCTGTGTAGTCTACAAAAATTCAGTTTTCCCAAGTGATCTGCAAACAGAGATAGAGATGGGAGTTTTGCACTCCAGTAGGACAAAAATTTCTCCTGATTTAAGCCTTAACCCTTATTTTTTACCTCCTCTCTTTTCAATCATCCCGTGAATTCCTGAAGAAGTCAGTGAAATGTTTCCTTCTTGCCTAAGCTTGTATCAACTGCTGCTTTGATAATGATGCAGCATGCTAAGTAATGAGGACGACTTGGCAAAAGTTGTTTTAGTAGGAAGTTGTTTTATTGGAACATAAAGTTGTTTTACTAGAAAGTTGTTTTTATCCAGCACAATAAACTACCCCAGTGTCTAGAACAGCTAGGTCCCTAACACTTTAAATTACTACAAACATCCAGACCTCCCATCCCATGCCCACAGCCATATAGAAATATATTTATTTTCTTGAAAGCAGACATAGAGTAGTAAATTTTTATCAGAATTGTTTTTATGTTTTTTCCATTATTTGAAGATTTATTTTATTTTTTTAACATCTTTATTGGAGTATAATTGTACAATGTTGTGTTACTTTCTGCTGTATGACAAAGTGAATCAGCTATACGTATACATATATCCCCATATCCCCTCCCTCTTGCATCTCCCTCTCACCTTCCCTATCCCACCCCTCTAGGTGGTCACAAAGCACTGAGCTGATCTCCCTGTGCTATGCGGCTGCTTCCCACTAGCTATCTATTTTACATTTGGTAGTGTATATATGTCAATGCTACTCTCTCACTTCATCCCAGCTTACCTTCCCCCTCCCTGTGTCCTCAAGTCCATTCTCTATGTCTGCATCTTTATTCCTGTCCTGCCCCTAGGTTCATTAGAACGTTTTTTTTTTTTTTTTAGATTCCATATATATGTGTTAGCATATGGTATTTTGGTTTTCTCTTTCTGACTTACTTCACTCTGTATGACAGACTCTAGGTCCATCCACCTCACTACAAATAACTCAATTTTGTTCCTTTTTATGGCTGAGCAATATTCCATTGTATACATGTGGCACATCTTTATCCATTCATCTGTTGATGGACACTTAGGTTGCTTATATGTCCTGGTTATTATAAATAGTGCTGCAGTGAACATTGGGGTGCATGTATCTTTTTGAATTATGGTTTTCTCAGGGTATATGTCCAGTAGTGGGATTGCTGGGTCATATGGTAGTTCTATTTTTTAGTTTTTTAAGGAACCTCCATACTGTTCTCCATAGTGGCAGTATCAATTTACATTTCCACCAACAGTGCAAGAGGGTTCCCTTTTCTCCACACCCTCTCTAGCATTTATTGTTTGTAGATTTTTTGATGATGGCCATTCTGACTGGTGTGAGGTGATACCTCATTCAGAATTGTTTTTAATTCAAATTGTGCAGGTTGCAGGTTAAACAGCTTAGATGCAAATAGGGCTAGCATTAGACTTTACACTGTGGTGTTAGGTGTTATTCAGCAGTTTCTCACCCAGGAACATAGGAATGGTGCTGCTTCTGTTCTAATGTTGACAACCTCTAAGTGTCATTATTGCTTTCTCCTAGAGTATCTATGGTTTTACCTTTCCTACAGCACCAAGGACAAATGAATAGCCTTCTCTAATGACAGCATCTTGTTAACACTGAGTTGCTGTGAACTTGAAGGTCCACTATCCAAAGGTTGCACTCCTATTATATCCTACCATCAGCCTCCAAAAAAAATCCATAATATTGATAATAATTTTAATGCATATCATCTACCTCCCTATAATAATTTCCAAGAAACCCTGCTAAGATACTTCATAATTAGCACATTTATCACCTTTTCTTAGGACACACACACAAAATAACCCATGTAGTATTTGCCTCCATCCATATATGATAATCTTAGATAAGGCCATTTAACACCTGGTTGATGGTGGAGGCTAAAATATACTGCCTGGCATCAGGTTGTAATGAAAAACCATTACAAGTTATCAGGCATATGATTAACTGGAGAACAGCTATCAGACCTTAGGTAAATGACAGGGAGCCTTCAATTGCACAGCAACAAATTAGGGTTAGCAAGGCAGGGACCAGAAATGAGGAATACTGAGGCGCAATGGCAGCCTCCCTTGGCTTGGAACTTAGCCACATGAAAAATCAATCCTCCAAGGATCATTTGTCACATGTCAGAAGTGCACATTACCGACTCTTATCAACAGCAAAAGAGGACATTTTTGAAGGTCAGCCATCATGGCAGCTCTAAAAATCTTAGACTACAGAAGGGTTGCACATGAAGCATGGCTCTCCCTGAGCCTGCCAGGTGTTTTCAGCTTTTTTTTTTTTTTTAACTTTGGTGGGAAACTGGTCATTTGAATGCCTTCAGCAAGATATGTGCCCTACCTCAGGACAAAAAGATGAAGATATTTACTTACTTTCCAGCTGGTAATGTGGTTGTTTTAAGAAAATGATTCAATAACTTAAAAAAAAAAAGGGAGAATAAGAATTTGGTTCAAGAAAGTCTTTCCATGTCATAATTTATACATAAATACAATGAATGAATGGACTAAGGCATCAGTTTGTTGGATCTCTAAATCCGAACGATTGGTCATGGATGGTCCAGAAGATAGCTGTGCAAACCTCAGGCAATAAATACCGTGGGACTAGGAACAAGCCTAGATTCTTTTAAGGAGGAGGCACAATACTTGCCTTGCCTTTCTGAGCGCTGTTGGCATTGCATCTGAATGTCTGTTGCTGCCCCCTGGTGGCCCAGAGATTCCCACACCAAAGCCCCTTTTCTTCCCCCAATAAACACTCACCTGACCCTTGTCCCCAAGGCCTTGCTTTCTTCTTTACAAAGTTACAAGAGAAGATTTTTAAGTTTTAAAAATAATTTTTATATGACACTCCTTTTCAGACCAAAACAACAAAAACAATTATAACAAATGTTTACAGAACAGAATGTGATCATTTTAAGTAACAAAATCATATTTACAGACTATATTCATATTTCATTTCATTTCATTTTGGGAGTATGTATGTGTATAAGTGTGTGTATATATATGTGTGTGTGTGTGTGTGTGTGTGTGTGTGTGTGTGTGTGTATATAAAATATCATAATAGGAGCTGCTATTTGTTGATCACTTACTAGGTGCTAGGTGTACCTTCTGCATCATTTAATCACAAGGATTCCATAAGGTTATTTTACAGATGAAGATACAGGCTAAAGGACATGCTTCTGGTTCTGGAGCCCTACAAACAAGAATATATGGGGTACAGAAAGATGAAAGAAGGAAGAGAATGCAAAGAAATAAGAGGAGTGCAAAAATGAAGGATGATTTTCTCTACAAGATCTAGACAACCTTCTTAAATAGAAATTTTCTTTATCTACTTAACTTCCAGAGAGGTCAAGTTCAAGGTCACACAATAAGTGCAAAACCCAGCGTTGAATCCAGATTTGCCTAAATGCAAAGCTTCTCAATTGTTACAATGGTGATTATAATGGAATTTGGCCAGAGGACTCAAGAACCTCCAAATCCTGTCCTCAATAAGCCACCTCCTCTCCCATGGGATCCCTTAGGGAATATTATACATAGACAAAAATGGCTGTCAAAAGAACTACTGAACGCAAACTGAAGTTTACTAGTTTCCTAAGCAAGTCTAGATGACAGGGAGGATTTTTGTGCTTAGGCTGAAGGTAACCTAAGTTTAGACACAAAAGACTACAGAATATCCTAGATCCTAAGGAAAAGGGAAATGTGAGGTGCAGGAAGAGCAAAGATGGAAAAGATGGCAAAGAAATAAGAGTTGCTACAGGAAAAAGAGCAATTCTCTACAACGTGGATGCAAGATCTAAACAACTTTTAAAATAGTTTCTTTGCCTACTTCTGCCTCTTCTTTTTTCCTTCATTTGGCACCTCTGTTCTTGGGTCCTCAAGGTTCCTATCTACTGTTTCTAAGACCTTGATTATACATCTGATTCAAATTTTAATCCCCACACTTCCTCCCATCTGAGGGTCGATGCTCCAAAATTACCTAACTCCTTCCCACTCTCTAATTAGAACCTAAGACTTTGGTTTTGCCTGTTTGTTCAAAGCTGGAGGAAAGCATCCTGATTGAGAGAGGCTGTGCAGTGTGGTGATTGAGAGTGTGTCCTCTGAGCTGAAGTCAAAGCTCTGTAACTTACTAGCCATCTAAATTTGGACAAAGTCTCAAACATCTCTGGGCCTCAGGTTCAATACCTGTGGGGATGATAATTATAGCATTAATCTCATTTATTTATTACAAGGATTAAATGAGTTCATATGTAAAATGGATTTATAACAGTAGTTGGCACAAAGCAAATCTATATAAGTATTTGATATAATTTATTTCTAAGGAGGTTAAAACAAATATCTTCTTTAACAGTCCAAGAGTCATCTAAATTTATGTTCAAAGAGGATACATAATAACTCCAATTAATGTTATTATATATATAATAACATAATAACATTATATACATAATAACATAACTCCAATTAATCATAAGTAGTAACAAATTTTAGTTGCTGTAATAAATGAAGCAGAAAAAGTCAGGTCCTGTGTAGGGGAAATATTCCTTGTGTAAGTGATGGTGGAAGGGGGGATATGGAAGCAGACACTTTAAAGATGAAAGATAACATATGATAGGCAATGTAAGGTAAATGCTTAATCTGTGAAATGCAGAAACACCTCTAAATATTTTTTTTTCATTTTTCAGACAATATTTATTTTCTACTTCTTATTTTTTCTAAAAATTCCTTAGTATTTTTTTCCCAACAGCTTCCAGGGAAACTGAGGACTATGTTGCCAGTTGCAGCAGGATGGAGAATCTGTGCAGGCTCTTTACACCCTCTATCTTGTAGATAGAGGAGAGAGGTCAAGAGAAGAGAGGTCAAGGGATTTACACTACTCAGCTACTTCAGTTTTTGTTCAGTGGTAAGTAAAGCAATTCTAATACCAACAAAGGAAACCAAAATGATGGTTTCTGTAAATAATGACCACCCACGAGAGAACGGGAAGAGAGGGGTCATACACAGAGAGAAGGGCAACCAGGAGCGAATGTCTAGAGCAGGGATCATACAGCCAGCCTGAAATGACATTTTACAGCAATGCAGTGAAGACTACTCAGTAAGTTAACAATAACCTAAATAAAATAACAGCTTCAACAATGAACATAACTTGCCACATTTCACTTAAATTAGGTTTAGCCATTTATCTTCACCTTGAAAAGAAAATCTCTACAATTCCTGTGATGTTTCCTGAGAAGGAAGCAAATGAAAAGAATCTTACATACTCTTAAACTAGGTTAAGATTATAATCATCACTTCCCTCATGCACAAGAAACACAAATGATTTTTCCTCTCCACAATCATGGGTCTCTCCTTTACAAAGGATTCTGTGTGTCCCTCCATTTCTGAATAATTTTTATTTAATTTGACTCAATAAGGAGCCAAATCAATTTGAGCCATTTTTACTACACAAAAGATTCTAGATCTCTCACTCAAACATTTTCTTCATTTTCTTGAAAATGTAGGCCATCTATAACACTAGTCTGAATTACTTTAGGAGAAATAGTATGAGATTTTCTATTAAAGTACAGAAAAAAATAGATTTAATGGGACCAAAAGATAAATTTTAGCATTAAATTAATATTTTATCAATCCCAATGTAAGTATAATCAAAATATCTACCTTCATTGTATGTTCATCTTAGTTTCTGTCCTTGGATTTTGCATACCAATTAGTAAGTGATGAATAATGGTGGTGGTGATATTTACAATAGCATTAAAATTCCATCAAAAGGAAGAGGAACACAATTCAATTATAACTATAATTATACTTATAACAGCATTTATAAGTATAATAGCAGTTCATCTCACAACTCTAAGTGTTATCAAATCTAGCAAAAATCTTAAGTCTGTAGCTAATTAGCACAAAGCAAACTGAGATCTGGTACTAGATACTTACATAAATTAAAAAGTCAAATCCAAATAAAATTTCCAAAATCTATCTTGACTTTGGCTTCAATTATCCTGTTGTCTGTCTATATTGATCAAAGTAACAGGACCCATGCTAAATTTCCACTTGACTTAGCGCTATGTACACATAGCCTATGAGTCTGGAAACATAGCTTTGTTGTACATAAAGTCATCTTTTGGTGAAAGTTGCCCTGGTCAGCAATGCTGGAGACATGGCCAGGAAATCAAAAGGCCCCCATTGTGAATCCAGAGAGCTTACTCTCATCACTGATGATTCAAGTTCTAGAAACTGGAACTGTGATTGGATCAGGACTCAGAAGAATCCCAAACTTCCATTAATCATTTCAAGGACACTCAGAAGACCCTCGGAAAATTCCTCTTCCGGTGCTTCTATAAGTTTGGCTACAAAATTTTCTCTCTTGGGAAAGAGGTAGGATTGCTTATAAAACTTGTTTTAAGAGCATGATTCCGTAAGATTCTTGTGGAAATAGATGAAGACCAACCAAATGAAAATAACCAATAGCTATTTGTTCAGAGCTTGCTATAGCAAAGGAGTCAGCCACTGTCATCTGGGTTTTGGTAGACGCTTAAAGGCAGGCAGAGTTGGATAGCTTTATAGTAGAAGAAAAGGGAAGGCTTCAGGTATGTCCTGATTGTGTAATAGTTCTGTTGGCTTGGGAAGCTGTAGGTGGGCTAACTAGAAGCATGGCATCCCTATGTGATTGGCTAGGGGAGCATACTTAGCTTTCTCTGGTTGGTTCCAAGTTGGAAGTGGGGACAAAAATCAGAGAAGCTGTCAGTTATTAATCAAGTCCTGGCCAATTTGGGCTGATTGTTAAAGAATTTATTGTGTAGCTTCCTGGATTATTACTAGAGATAGAAGTCTGACTTCCTACAAGTCTGGCTTACAGCAGGCTGGCTCCCTAGGCTGTTTATTGTAGATAAGGGGCATAACCTGGGAAGTTTGCTGCAGGTTGTGGGTCATTTTATAAATGGTCTGGCCATCGTTCTCTTTGTACACTCATTCTCTCATTCCAAACATTATTTCCCCAAAAGGAATAAAACTAGACATATTGCAACAAAGTAAAAGAAGGTAAGGAAACATGTAATACAACAAAATTTAATGAAAGTTCCTTGTCCAAAATTTTACTTGCTTGTCATTTTAATGTTTTTATTAGAGAATAAGGAAGGGCATGGGAAAGAATCTGTTCCCTGGAATGTCAAGTGATGTAAAGAAATTTCAATGGTGTTTGTATTAGTTGTATTACTGCTAAACTGCAGCAAAGAGACGCAAAAATACAATAGCTCAAACAAAATAAAGTATCTCATAACAATCCAGATATGTATACATGATCCAAGATAGAACATCACCATCATCATTATCATGTTTATCATCATCATCTATCTTTCTGTGGGTCTATCTATAATGGGAATTCTGCTTTCAAAGCCATTCATGACTCAGGTTCATTCATTCTCATTGTCCTTCACTTATTGTTCTTAAACATTCTTGTGTGTTGTTTCCCTCACCTGCATGGTCATGGCTGGCTCACCATCCCATATGTGTTCCAGCCCACAGAAACAGGGAAAGAGAAGTAGAGGGAAAGCAACTTTCTTTAAAAATATGGTGTGGGGAATTCCCTGGTGGGCCAGTGATTAGGACTCTGTGTTCTCACTGCTGAGGGTCCAGGTTCAATCCCTTGTTGGGGAGCTAAGATCCCAAAAGCCGCATGGCATGGCCAAAACATTTTAAAAATTAAAAAAATAAAAATATGGTGTGGCTACAATGGAATACAACTCAGCCATAAAAAAGAATGAAATTTTGCCATTTGCAGTAACAATGGATGGACTTGGAAGGCATTATGCTAAGTGAAATAAGTCAGAGAATGATAAATACTGTATGGTATCACTTAGATGTGGAATCTAAAAAATACAACACACTAGTGAATATAACATAAAAGGAAGCAGACTCACAGATATAGAGAACACACTAGTGGTTACTGGGGGGGAGGAGCAAAACAAAGGTGGGGGAGTGAGAGGTACAAACTACTGGGTGTAAGATAGGCTCAAGAATGTATTGTACAACACAGGTAATATAGCCAATATTTTGTAATAACCGTAAATGGAAAGTACCCTTTAAAATTGTATGACATTTTAGGGCTTCCCTGGTGGTGCAGTGGTTGAGAGTCTGCCTGCCGATGCAGGGGACGTGGGTTCATGCCCCGGTCTGGGAAGATCCCACATGCTGTGGAGCGGCTGGGCCCGTGAGCCATGGCCGCTGAGCCCGCGCGTCCGGAGCCTGTGCTCCACAACGGGAGAGGCCACAGCAGTGAGAGACCCGCATACCGCAAAAAAAATAAATTAAAAAAAAAATTGTATGACATTTTAATTTTAATAAAATTTTTAAAATATGGTATGGAAGTTCTACTCATACTCATATACCACTGGACATGGCCTGGTCACATGGTCAAATGTAGGTAAAGGAAAGCTTGAGAAATGTAGTGTCTAGCTGTACTGTCAAACTGACTAAGAAGAATTCATCACCAAAAGGAAGAAGAAAATAAAAACGAGGAAAATGAGTGTTCTCTGCCAGAGATATCATAATGGCTATGCATTTCAAACAATGAGAAAGTTATGAAAGAGCACAGAACACCTCACTCTCTTTGGAGCATTGTCCTGTCAAGCCCATGAGGCTTGGTGATGGGTTGCAGGCAAATCCACAGCTATCTGCTTCTTCGTCTTAGGGATTCCAAAGTTTCTCAGGCATTGATATAAAAAGCTTGCTCCCAGAGGGCTGAGAAGTGTAGATGATATCTAAATATTATTTAATGCTTTATTGGGTTGTAGAAAGAAAACAGTAGAAAAATCTTTACTTGTTGTCTGTCCCTTGGTGTCCTGAAAATTATTTCAGACCTAGCAAAGAGAAGGGAGGAATGCCAGATTTGACTTTTCTTAGGTATTTTATTTTTTCTTTCTTTTTAAAGATTTTTTTGATGTGGACCACTTGTAAAGTCGTTATTGAATTTGTCACAATATTGCTTCTGCTTTATGTTTCGGTTTTTGGCCATGAGGCATCTGGGATCTTAGCTCCCTGACCAGGGATCGAACCCACACCCCCCTGCATTAGAAGGCGAAATCTTAACCACTGGACCACCAGGGAAGTCCCTCTTAGGTATTTTAGCTTCTTTTCTCCTTGATAGCTAGAAATCAAATAATAATGTCTAATAAATTTTGGAGTACTCTGAAAAATGCAAATATAAAAGATACAAAGCACTATTTATAATTATGTCAAAGAAATTGAATAGTTTCACTCTGACTAATAAATTAAGTACCAGACCTCTGTAATTATGGCTGTTCCAGGATTAAGAATGTTATACCTATCAAGTGTAACCTGCCCCACATGTATTGTCCTAGAATGGTTTTCACCTGTTAGGCGACAGAGTACGTCTCATTTTAGTGTGCATGTGGACACAGGTGAGAGATCCAAGTGCCAATGTATAGAGTAAAACACTGATTCCTCATGCTTTAGAAAAGAATCTGTTATGGGGGGACAGCTACAAGAGGGTCAGCACTCTGGGCCTCATATGTATAAAAGGCCTCAAATTTAGACTTCTGAAATTATCTCCAAATGAAGTCATGCATAAGGATGTTTTATCTGTATATGTCTTCCAGACATGTAAATTTTTTCAAGTAAAATAAAATTTGTACAATTTTGACTTTTTAAAGATTTTTCAACACACTGGGAGCCACAAATGTTTATGGGTGGAAGATCATAAGATCCTATAAGGATAATGAAACCCCTCAGAACAGAGTGAAGTTTGCAGTGGCAGTGAGATTTACCCTGTCTCTTCTAAAATGTTCTCTAAACCACGGCCAAAAAATATAGGTAACAATTGTATTGTTTTCAGAGAAAGTTAAAGATGGGAAAATATCTTGTCATGCTATACATGGAAGGGAAGGG